AACACAAGGAAAGCAACCCAAAAGATACATTACTTCAATTAAAGAAGCAACGTACAGGCAATATGATGAAGTAGGAAATAAGCACTATGTGTACAGTCAGAGGAACTCTTCTGGTTACAGCTGAGCTGAATCGATATTTTATTGCCACCACCCACACACAAACACCCCCTCACCTCCCCAGAGCTGCTTGTTTTCACCTTTAGCTGCTGCCTCAGCCAGAGATCTCTGCCATTGGGTTTGGGTTTCATTTATTTATTCTGCTTTGAACAGGTTGAGATATGCAGGCTCTAAATCACTTGAGAATTGACCCAAATGGAAAAGAAGAACACTCTTTATAAGAAAAGAGTTGTTTCAAGCCAGCTCAATCTGTTGGAGAGTGATCAACCAGGCAAATACTTAAATGAATAGTACTGAGAGTTGAAATCTCTGTTTGCCTTGACATGCGGAAGGAGGAAGGGGTCAGGGAGATAAAAGATTTCCCTGAATCTGCTACCTGCAGCACAGCTTGTATCCCCATTCTGTAAGGCAAAAACCATTACCTAAAAGACAGAAATTAGGAGATTACCTTTATGGCACCATCTTTAGCTGTGTTATTCTCAAATGACTGAAAGGACTCATTAAATCAGTTTTAAGACACCACAAAAGAAATCAGCTCTACTAGTGGCTCAGCTCTGTCAGTGTGGGGTATTTCTGCAACCAAGAAGTTGAATCCAAGTGCTGCTAAATTAAGATTTAAGTTGCTTTAGATTATGTTTATTATCAGGAATTTGGTATCTGCTGGTTTAGCCTCTCCTTCATGAAGTGACATGCTTTTAAACTTGTCAAGGAAAATATCTGTCATTTTTCAAAAAATCTCTAAGAACTAACCCATCTGTAATTATTAGAGTTCTATGCTCTTCATCTTACTCCGCCTTCCATGTCTTCTTTGATGAAGTTTTCTCTAGTATTCATAAATAATTGACACTGTTGATGATTTTTCTTAAAGTATGACATCTATCAAAGACCTGAAGAGAATGGCAAAGATAAAATAGCATAGTATAGTTTCTTATCCAGAGGAGAAATAAAAAATTCCTATTCCTGAAAAAGCATGCCAGCTAGGATAGATCTTTTTATTACTATTATTATTACTACCCTCCTCTTTTATCTGTCTTCCTTTTTGCTTTTGTTTGTTTTTGATTTGTTGGGGTTTTTTTTAACAGGACTAAGGTTTGATCATTCCTGTTAATAACCACGGCAACACTTGAATCCTCCTGCGCATTTGGGGTTCTGGCTTTTGTAGAAATATAAAGTAAATTCTTCTCAGAAAGAATTCTCAGTAAAAATTTCTTCCTGGAAAAAGCTGTCAAACATTGGAACAGATTGCCCAAAGGTGGAGTCACCATCCCTGGAGTTGTTCAAGAAATGACTGGATGTAGCACTCAGTGCCATGATCTAGTTTTCAGGCCGGAGATCTACCAAAGGCTGGACTAAATGATCTTAGAAGTCTTTTCCAACATAAATGATTCTGTGATCCTGCCTGAAGGGGCTTCCTGCTAAATTTTTTGCCACTAAACTGAAAGGAAGGAGGGGCTGATTTTCCTGCCAAAGAAGAAAACTCACTCTTGTAAGTTATGACTTTGGCCTTCGAAAAATGGGCCAAAGTTTTTGATAAGGAAGCGTTCACTTTAGGAAGTTTTCCTAAAGTGAACGCCTCCTTATCAGTGGTCTGAGACCCACAAACCCACAGGGTCACTTTCCAATGCATCATGTGAATGCCCAAATACTGCCCACTAGCTTGGGCATTAAGGGTTTTGGTTTTTTTTTCAGAACAAAGGAGAAATATTTCTAGCTTGACCTTTGAAGACAGTCTAGGTATTACGTGGTATTGCTTTTCTTCTCTACTGTTTATACTGAACCAGATCGTTTTCATGACTAACCCTGTGTCTGGAAGTGAAGGGCTGACCTGTGTTAGTCCCAGCAAGAGTTACACTGGCTGCCAAGTTTAATCACACAGGTCCAGGCACTGCACACTGAAAAAGGAGAACAAAAGTTACAAGATCCATACACTCTACAAGCTCGCTGTAGTCTTAAGATTAGCTATGAAAATTTAATCTAGTCATCAAAACAGTAAGCAATTTCTTGAGAACATCACTGGCTTGGCTGGTAAAAGAAATGGTCAAATTATCTTCTGCAAGGTGTTCATCTTAGATGTACACTGGGGTTTAACTTGCAAAAATTAAAAAAAATAGCACTGTCAGATTGAGGTTAGTCTCTGCTAGTTGCTAACACTTCAGAGGAGAAAATAATTAAAAATCTATTCAAGAAGATTGGGCACACCTGCAAGATGTCTGTACTACTGTAAGTCAGGAATAAAAACCTGAAATTAGGTCGAGGGCAGTATTTGCAGGTCTATGAATGAAAAAGGACACAGACTTTGTACACTAAGACTGTAAGTAAGGTTTTAGAACTAAGGGCCCTCCTCTGGAATTAAAGAGGTCTAGCATTATGAAGGCAGTATTTTTTTCTGACTAGAAAGTGCTATGTTGACAAACAGTATAATTGTCCTTAGACAAGGCAGCCCCACTCCACTATATCAAGAAGGAGATATTACTCAGGAGGTGATGGGAGGGTTTCACTTGGTGACTTGTTTTGTTTTCTCAGCATCAATGGTGAGATCACTGTCGAATGCTGTGTCCAATTCTGAAATTAGAGCCTCCTGCCGGCACAACTTTCAACAAATCAGGAGAGTTGGGAGTAAAAGTCCTAGGCGGAGATAACAGCAGTGAACCAATAAACTTCCAAGGGAGAAAAAGTGGTTTCAATGAACGGCTAAAGTTTGGAGAAACAGAAACTAGAAACTAGCTGACAAAATAACTGGGAAAAGGCGGAGACAAAAGGAAAACAGCACCAAGAAAACCAAATCACAAATCAAACCATAAACCTACTAATAAAACAAAAAGCATGATACAACAGCCTCCGAAAAATACTGAAAAATTTGGAATGATGTCAGAGAAGAGCTCTGAGAATGACTGAATCTGGAAAGATCCAAGAAGGAAAGAAAGAAAAATTATTTGTATCAGTGTCTCTGTCTCCCTGGGAGCCCCCGAGGAACCCCGGCCAACCCCAATCCAGCAGACAGCAGGGGGACACTCTCCCGTGCCCCGAGGGTACCAAGGCAGCCAGGCTAGTCGCCTTTGCGGCAGAGGAGATGCTGGAGACATCGGTGGAGGAAGAAAGGGCTGACTCTTAGCAGGGGTTAATCCAAGGTTTTATTCAGAGCTCCTGGGAGCTCCCCACCTCAGAAGGCCTCCTGCTCAGAGTGCCTGGGAAGAGCTGCCAAGATTACATTTTAAAGGGAGGTGTGAACCAAAAAGTAGATAAATTTGCTGACCAATAAAGACCTTTCAGGGGTGAAAACTTAGGGAATGGACATTTGGGATAGCGTATGGAGTAGCACTTGGGGGGCTGACCTCTGGCCTCTGACTAATCACTCAATGACCTGGACCGAAAGTTCTAGATAGAAAGGATGGGATGCTGAGTGATTGTCAGAGAGCCAGGATGGGAACTGGGGGATGATCTCAACAAAGGAGAGGGATTACACAGGTAGAAGGAGGGGGTACAATCAGGGGTAAACCATTTGGGGAAAATAAGGGGATACTAAAACAAAACCATTATGAAGTATAAAAACACACTACACATAGTAGACTACTGAAGCTGCATACAGATAAACAAAACCAAAGGTTTGTTTTGTTTGTCTTTACAAAAAAACCCAAACCACACAACCAAAAACAACAACAACAAAAAAATACCCAAAAACCAAAACCAGCTCACTCAGGATTTCCCACACCAAGCAAAAGTTCAGTTGTTTCCACTCCCTGATGTTACCTCCAATGGGAAGCGTGGTTTTGTGAAGAAGGAGCTGGGGTGAGACCCGGGGGATCAAAGGCCAGGGCTGCTCAGCAGGGCAGGTGGGAGACCCAGGGCAGCTCCTGCTGGCCACTGCCTGGGCAGGGCAGGACACATAGGGCAGGTGGGAGACCCAGCTCCTGCCCGTCACTGCAGGACACAGAGGGCAGGTGGGAGACCCAGCTCCTGTCGGTCGCTGCCCGGGCACAGCTGGACACCCAGGGCCTGCCTGGCCCTGCGGCCATCCTGAACGCAGCACAGCTGCTCCCAGCACCTGTGGTGTCACACCTGGGCACAGGGGTAGCAGATGACTGCTCCAGCCGAAAGAAAAGGGTTCAGCTCTGTCTTTGTTGCCTTTTCCTCAGCCTTCCTTGCCCAGGTACTGCCATGGCTTGTGTCCAGGTGCTGAGCTGGGATGAAGCAGTGGCAAGGGAGGGCTTTGCCATGGCAGCCCCATGACAGGGCACAAGGACACGGGTGATTCAGGGGTCTCTCATGTTCAGGGTGCTGTCACCCCAAACAAGCTGATCAGTGAACAAGTGGTCACCTTTACAGCCCGCAAGGCTGGCTGTAAAACACCGAGCCTGACCTGACTTATGAAAGCCTTAAATCCGTAGTAGGCAAGTATTTCCTTCACCTCTGGAAAAGGTGGATTGACTTAACGGCATTAACTACAGACACAGCTGCCTCTCAGGCGCCTCGGTAATCCCCTGGAAAACACTGCAGAGGGCGAGGCAGATGTGTGCTGCCTGGAAATTATCAACCACGTGTTGGGCGGAACAGCAGCGAATCCCAAATTGTGCTGGCGCGACCGGCAGCGTGAGGCACTGCCGCAGCTGGCTCAGAGCTCGCCCAAAACCGGTGTAAGGGGGCTGCCCTGCATTGCCTCCGGGTGTCCTTTCCCAAAGGCGGCTCCTTCCCACGGCCGGCAGCCGCTCCGCCACGAGGTGGCGGCGCGGGGCAGCGCTGTGGAGCCGGGCCCGCGGGGACCGCCCTGCTCCGGCCGCCCTTTTCCCGCCGGGACCGCCCTTCTTCCGCAGGGACCGCCCTTCTCCGGCCTCCCTTTTCCTGCCGGGCGTGCCCTGTTTTTGGTGGCGGTTGTGTTGTGGCCCTACTCGCCCTCAGTACGCAGCCGCCCGCGGGAGGGGGAGCCGGGCCCGGCGGAGCTCGGAGCAGGGGCGCTGTGTGGGCTCGGTAGCTGAGAGGGCTGTGAGCTTCGAAGAACAGAATCACGGGGTAGTTCGGGTTGGGTCTGAGATCACCCGCTCCAAACCCCCTGCCAGGGCAGGGTCACCTGGAGCGGACACGGGAACGTGTCCATGTGGTTTTGGAATGCCTCCAGAGAGGGAGACTCTGTGCCTTCTCTGGGCAGCTGCTCCAGTGCACTGCGACCCTTCGTGCAAAGTTCTTCCCGATGTTGAGATGGAATTTGTGGTTTAGTTTATAGCCACTGCTCTTTGTCCTGTTGCTGGGCACCACTGAGAAAAGTCTGGCTCCAACCTCTTGGCACCTCTTGGATATATTTGTATGTATTGATGAGCTCCCCTCTCAGCCTTCTCCAGACTGAACAGGCCCAGCTCCTGCAGTTCTCTCCTCATAAGAGATGTGCTCCAGACCCATCATCAGCTTTAGTCAGATGGTTACTGACCTATAATTATTTTTTAAAACTATTTAGAGTACTGAAGATGTCAGATTTGTGAGGCAATAACACTCTTTTACTATGGTGCCATTAGAATACTGCCTCAGGGAGATGCAAATATAGAGAGCTAGCTTGTGTAAATTCCTCATGGTAGTGTATTTAGCTGGATTAGTCCTTTAAACAAATCTCCTCAGGCTTAAGTTTTAAATTAAGATAATGAGCAGTCCTGCTGAAGTTGGAGAAATAGAGAATTTGGTATGGAAATTCACTGAATCAGGACTAGCCTGTATATTCAGCCTCTTTAAAATGTTTTCTCCTTGGAACATGGGTGGAAAAGAGGTGGAAAACCTGGTTTACCTTCTTTGGGTTTTCCCAGTGTGCGTGTACCCATAGCGTGACAGGTCAGCCTGCCAAAACGTGTGAGAAAAAATAGTAAAGATGCTGCCACAAGATATGGTTCTGCCTCAGCATGACCTTAGATATTTGTTTGCTTTAGCAAAGTTCTGCTCAATACAAATGAAGGTCTGAAAGGGATAGAGGTATTAATAATTTATGGTAAATCTGTTATTGATGGCAAGAATAGCAAGTTCTCTAAAAATGAATGCAAGCCATGATGTTTGTCTCAAGGATTCTGTTACTCAAGCTGAGATAGCAACAAAGCACTTTGAAGGTTAATTATGGACCACATGATGGCAGCAACAGGTGAGATGTGGTAATCATGTCATCACCAGAGATGCTTTAGAGACTTACATTTCTAAAGGTCTATATTTAAAAGATGAAGGGAGATACTGCGAAAGCTAGGAAGTGGTGAGAGAGAAAGCATGAAGAAAAACTCACCTAGTGGGCAGTTAGAAGTGACTCTTGAGTCAGTGAAATACTGCTTGTCTAGCATGGGGCATTTCATTTTAGCATATAAACAAATTCAGGTGTCAGAATGAGTTTAAAAAATAGAGATTAAACAACTAAACTTCATTCACTTTTGGTTGTTAAAGAGAATATATGGTGATTTACAGTGACTATTAAAAATTACCATATTATTTTGATGGCTTATATATGGTGCTAGCCCTTTACTGCTGACCAAAATCTGAATTCTGAAGATAATTTTAGTCAGTTTCCTGTGATGAAGGAAACCTTGCCACATGTTGGATGGAGCCTGACTAATTAAGAAACTGCTTTCAGGCTCTGCTAGAAGATCAGAGATTGCTCTTGATTTGCATCTTAATAAGAAATCATTGATGGTGTAAAGAGTTCCTTTGGTTATTAAAATATGACCTGAATATTACAACCTGTTACAGGTAAGTGTATGTTGATATGGAAGTGGCACAGAGAGGAAAAATCCATCACACTTTTCTATTTTTGAGTTGTTTCCAGTTCATACCGTCTCTGCAAATTAAATTAAGGGACTCTAACATTCTTATTAAATTTACTGGTCAGGAGCTGAGGAACATTATTAAGTGCTTGCATTTGCTGCTTGAAATACGGCAAGAAGCAAAGATGTGTAAGACACCAGTAAAGAGCAATTTTATGCCTGGTGCTTTCAAGCTCACCTCTTTAGGTACTATTTACATGTCATCGCCAGTCCCTCTTCGTGTTCTTCTTGTCACCTGCAGAAGAGGAGACACAGCACAGGCAGAGGGAATTAAATAATAAAAGGGATGAAATTCAAATGTGGGAAGAGGCAGAGTAATAATGAGATTTTATATAATGCTCTTTATCTTGAGTACTTCTCAAAGCTGAAGTGAACAGTAACTGTAAATGAGGTGTTGCTTCCTTCCCTAGCTCAGAAATCCCCAAACTATGGCACTATTAGCTGTCAGTCAGACTGTGCCATAAACCCCTAATCTGTCTCTGAGGCCCTGTGCATGTGTTGGGTGCTGAGGGCAGTGTTACTAAGAGGTTACTCATGCCCTTCTCTCACATGATGTAATTAATACGGAACAAGTGACTCCAAAACCTAAGAGCAGCCAGAGTGGAGTAATTGTGGATTGTCCCAAATCTCAAAGAATGTGTGAGTGGATGGTGTTAATAGCCTGATTATGTAGCAGCAAGGGTTTAAACATAGATTATGAGGCATATAATTTTACTCCTTAAGGGGCAACTAATTTGACAATGAGCACCCTTTGTGGGGGAAGGTGGCTTTCTAGAGGAGCTGTGGGGCTGGCCAGCTTTTATTTCAGGGAGCACGTAAGTCCTGTTGGATGCTCAAGTGTTCATGCCTGATCTGTAGTGCTCTGAGAGCATTTACAGGCACGCTGACTCAACAGGATGTCTCTGATCTTACTCTTCTGCGTCTGTAGCAAGATTTGTATCAGATGTTACAGGCTGACTCCTTAGAAATCTTGCATAGCAGACATTTATGTTTCAGAGGGATGGCACTTGGAAAAATCAGCTCCAAAAACTTTGTTGACCTTCTGAGAGCTGTGTTAAATGACCTGTATTAGGACAGAGAACCAGCAGTAATTGTGTGCTCAGTTTTAGCTGCCCAAGAAAAGGTGCAGTCATATGGGTACACAGAAAGAGTCTGAGAAGACTATTCCTATAAAGTTTTATGGTTTTAAAAATTTTCCTCTCTGGTTATTGATGAGATCCACTTTAGAAGGTTGTAGTTGTTGATAACATAATTTCTGTTCAGTAACACTGTCTCAATTCTCTCACTTTCAGAGATTCCCAAAACACAGTTGTGCCTAATACTACAGAAATGTAATTATGTGACAATTTCAGAGGAGGTTCAACTTTATTTGAGCTGAATAGCTGGAAGAATTAGATACTTCGTGATTTGCAGAAATGTTCCTGAGTTCTCCTAGAGGTTTTTGGGCAATTTCAGAGGAGGTTCAGCTTTATTTGAGCTGAATAGCTGGAAGAATTTTAGATACTTCATGATTTGCAGAAATGTTCCTAAGTTCTCCTAGAGGTTTTTTTAAAAAAATCATGTGATAGCTGCACAATAAACTAAATTATTATAACACCAGGAATCAATCAGAAATAATTTCCAGATAGAAGGAGACTGTATATATGCAAATATCCTACAAGATGTTTCGTAACAACCTCTTCAAAATTGTAATTTGCAACTTGAAAGGCTAAATAATCTGATTTTCTTAGAAATGTATTTTAAATGCCTCTTGATTTGGAGCAACTGATCCTCCTAATTTGAGGGACCTTTTCAAGTCTGGACTAATCCCCATTTCCTTTTTAAAACCAGAGAGAATGTGTAGGAGTTGCCACTGTGAAGATGCATTATCATCTCAAAAGCAGATGTTAAGAAAGTATTTAGAAATAATAAACTGGAGTTATCAATACTTGAACTAGCTTTAATTTAGCCATTGAAGTAATGGAAGTGGCAGTGCAGTAGTATGATAGGAATAATTGGCTCTCAGCAGGTAAGTTGGGTAAAATTCTGTTCCTTGCTGCCATGGATGGCCTTTAATATAAACTTCTTACACTTGACCAGCCAGTTTCAGGTTAATTGGCTATCTCAGCTGCTTGTTCTAGCTAAGTTCTCTGTCTGAAAACTGCTCGAAGTTGCTGGCCTAAAATGGTTTCTGGATCCTCTTTCTTCTTCATTCCAAAATAATAGTAATACATGCTCATTCATAAAGCAAGACATTTTTCTTTTAGGAGCATGGCATTTAAATGCTTTAGTCCAAGCCTGTCTTGTATAAAAGTTCAATTCCCATACTTTAAAACCCTGCCTTTTTTCAGCTGAAAGAAGAGATTCAGATGTTTCATCCTTGAGATCACCACCTCAATCCTCAACATTGAAGACCTCTAAAACCAGCAGATTAATTCCTTACTGTACCAGCTGAAGCAGAATAAGTTAATTATGGTGCCAATGTAAATAACCTATTTTAAGACATATATTTTATGTCAAATGATCCCTAACATTGTACTCAAGTAATAGTCAATTACTGCTATCGAGAGTGTTTACCATACTGCAGTGTGTAGTGGTTTCTTTTCCATGTGCTTAGGAAATAGGTCCAAAGATAGACATTCACATGAAAAATGTCCAGATTTTTATTGCTGTGCCATCTGTGCTGAATAATTCTCTAGTTTCTGGTTTTCATTAATGGCATCATAAAAACTTATGACAAAGAGGAGGTAAATAATCACAAAATTATTTCTGCAATGGCTGAAATCTGTAAATTTGTCAGATGATATGTATTTAAACATGTATTAATACATTTAAATATATTTAAACATTTGTCTCAAGGACAGTTAACATTTTTGAGCAGCGGTTTGAATGGAAGGGCAGGCCACAAATGTGGCTGAGAAGTGAATGGACCAGTCTGAGCTGTACTGTTCAGATAATATGGTGCCTATCATATTCCCTCAGAGCCTGCTGATTTTAAATTCTTCAAACATCATTTTCCTTTTCTTCTATGTAAAAGTGAGGAAAAAACTGTATGTGTGCATATTATGTGTGTGTCTAGAACAGCTTAGTGGAAACCTTAGTTCAAGAAATGAGATTTTAGTGAGAAATTTTGTTGGTATGGGATGAGATTTAGTCATCCACTTTTACAGAAAAGGCTTCCAAAGTACAAATCCACTTCTTGGAAAAGTTATTTTCCTTGTCATGATCATTTCTGTTAGGAGGATGCCATGATATATTTGTAGCTTTCTTTGAATTCAGGAAAAAAAGTTTATATATACAGGATTGCACTTATTTATAAAGATCCAAAATATTATTGTACGTGTTTGGGAAGGGATGGCTAGATCTCAGAATTTTGATGGCACCATCATTACTTTTCGTTTCAGCAAAGTGTCAAGAAGGGGTTGTGTAAGCCTTAATTATACCTATTAATTTCATTTCTCTTTCTCATTTGTTTCTACTTAAATAACTAACAAGAGTTAAGTACAGTTTTAGAAATTCTTATGAAAATTTGAAATGTTTGCCATAGTCTCTGCAATGTTTTTTCTATAGGTGGAGTAGTGGAGAAATTACTTTTTAAAAAAAGAATGCTTAAAAAGATCAGTGCTTTGTAACCGAGGGTGGGACAGAGCCCAGTGCAGGGAGAGAAGATTCTTCTACAGGAACTGCCTGATGTTGTGTAACAATCTGGAAAATAATCTTGATTGTCTGTGGGTCTTTTGCACTCAGAGTTTGGAATTTGGATTTCTAGGTTGTTTAATGATAATGCTAATTACGCAAAGAGGGTACGGAACAGGTAGACTTATAGGTTTCAAGAGGTTTTGATATTATTTTTTGCATAAATTCTGTGGTGTTGTGTTGCTGAAAAAGCTCAGAGTATTTGGGCCATAAATTACTGTCTGTACACTGCCTTAAAGAGTGTACAGTGAGCTACAGGTTGGGGGCAGAATGGCTGGAAAGCTGCCTGGCAGAGAAGGATCTGGGGGTGCTGGTCAGCAGTGGCTGAACATGAGCCAGCTGTGCCCAGGTGGCCAAAAGGGCCTGGGTCAGCAGTGGTGTGACAGCAAGACCAGGGCAGTGACTGTGCCCCTGTGCTGGGCACTGCTGAAGCCACACCTCAGATCCTGTGTTCATTCAGTTTTGGGCTCCTCACTACAAGAAGGGCATTGAAGTGTTGTATATAGGTCCTTCTTGTAGGGAAGGTTTAGATCAGGTGTGAGGAAACATTTCTTCACAGAAAGGGTTGTTTAGCATTGGAATAGGCTGCCCAGGGAAGTGTTGGAATCACCATCCCTGGGGGTATTTAAAAAAGATGTGTAGATGTGGCACTGAGGGACATGGCTTAATGGTGGCCTTGGCAATGCTGGGTTAATGGTTGGGCTCAAAAATCTTAAAGGTGTTTCCCAACTTTAACAATACTATGATTCTGTCTGGGGAAGAATTGACCAGATGGAAGTCAAGCTAGAACCTGTAATACCAGTTTTTATCCTGAAGTCAGGTACTTCAGACAGTTCTAGACACCTGAAAACAAGATTGGTAATCTCTCACATTTGCTAATAAAGAGCTCAGTGTTCTGGACTAAAAAGATTGGAGCTCCTGGAGGAGTCCCTCTCTTATCACTCTGTAGCAGGAAATAGCTGACTAGATACCATTTCTTGATCACAAGCGAGGTACAGCCATTTAAAAAACCTTGAAATAACTCCACAATCAAAAAAACCCCAAGGATGCATTTATAAAAAGCATCAAGAGTACTGCATTTGATATATTTTATTCTGTGTTAAGGTATGTCATTAAACAAAAAGGTTACAAAGGTAAACACTGTCTCAATTTTAACACCATAGTTACAGAGAAGCCTTCGACTGATTTTCTCTGCCATCCCCCTTTCTAATTTTACAAATGCCTTCATTTTGGAAGGGGGAGGGGACAGAGGCAATGAGAAAAAAGAGATGTGTCTGCAGTGTCTGGCTGCTGGGAAATAAATATATCCTATTGATTTCTCCATATGCTATATTTCAGCAAGGTGACTGCCTTTTCCCTGTCTGTTGATTAAAAAGTTTTTGTAGAGGCAGTGAAGGCCCAGCCTTGCCGTCACCCTTGTCTCACAGGGTTTATGCAGAGGGCAGGATCAGACGTGGCTGATCTCACATCTTGTCCTGCTCTGAGTTGTAACATCATCACAGCTTCAGAGCACACAATGTGTGGGACCAGTGAGTGTCATTGCCTGCCTTTTCCTTTGAGAAACCTGGAAATATCAGTGTGTCCAGTTCTCTTCTTCCTTGTTTGGGCGCAGTCTTCTGTCCCAACCTTGAATGTTGCCATAGAGTTTCAGAAAGCTGCTTCATGTGGAAATGGCCTGGCCTCTCCTAATTACAATAGCTCCTTGTTCTGCTGCCAAGAAAATAGCATCATCAGCTACTTGGATTATACAAAATATTACAGAATAAAGACAATAACAGAAATGCACTGTTATTTTTCCTTCCTTATATCCTGCCTTGTGACAGGAATCCCTCCCCCTGCTCAGTTCATTGGTTAACAATAAACAAAGATGCTTTTAACAGCTGCCTCTGTCCTCTGTGGAGAGTAATACACTAGAACCATGATAGTATTTAAAACTGGCTTACCATCATATTTTGTTTCTTTTTAGGAAACTTCATTTGACGTACAACATCTCCTAAACAGAGATGATACCCTTTTCTTGCATCTATGTACAATGGAGCATTCTACAACCCAAATATTAAAGAATAGCTTAAATAATTTTTTTAACCGTTTTATTAACAGCAGAGATAATTGTTCACTGAAGAGATACACTGTCACCACAATGCTCCAGAAGTGAACAGAAGTTATAGTTTAACTTGGGGATTTGGGCTTGCTTCTGCCTTTCATTCCTATTAAAAGAAGGCATTGTTTCTCAGTGTTTTTGGAAATTAAGTAAATGTATTTGGCTGAATATCAAATACTGATTTATTAGAAACCTTTTTGGTCCATGGGAAATGCTTTGAGGAAAGGATAAGGACTTCAATTTCCCTAGCTATAGGTCACTAATTTTGGTCAACAAAATTAAGATTTGAATTTCCAAGGATCCCTTTAGTACTCCACAAAGAGGCAGTGGATCTCACAGGGAATTCCTGATCAGAAGTCTATTTCAGGTATTGTGTGCCACCCTTCAGGGGAGGCTTGTGGAGGGGAGGAGAGAGAGAATTGTCTCAGACACCCTTTGCAGTATGCGAGGGGTGGACGTGCCTTGGTGGTCCCCGTTTTTCAGTGCTGGAGGCTGGCTGGGGGCTCTCCTGCCAGGCTGCCATGCACAGATGGAGAGGGAGGTGCCAGTTTCCACCTGCTGTTGTGCCCTGTCTCTTCCAGAGCTGCTGCAGAAAGCATGGTGAGTTGGAACATCTTGTGAGCCCAATACCTGAACTGGGGGCCACGAGTTCACAGCTACCTTTTCTTTGGGGTATCAGTCCATCCCTTCTCTTCTCTTACAGTTTCTCTGTTAACACCTGTCTTTTGTTTTTTAAAAATATTGTACAGGAGGTGTCTGCCATTTTGGGGTGAGATATTCTTGCTCATGCTTACAGCAAGCACATTACATGACATTAAGTTCTGACTAATGCTGTGTTCCAATTGTGTTTGTCAGCTGTGGGTGATAATGTCTGCATTCAGAAAGCACCGACTCTGCCTTTGCACATGAAGAGTTGGTCTCAGGAACATGCTCCAGCACTGCTGCCCCTCTGCCCTGCCACGTGCTGTGCCCACAGCTTCCTCAGGCTGCCCGTGTGGAGCCTGGCCACTTGGATTTATGGGAATGGAGCTGCTCAGCTGTTTGAAGTAATGGGTGCATATTCATCCATATCCAGGATTCAGATATGCAAAACATCACAGTTTTGGATCTACCCAAAACTGCACTTCAGTCATCAAGAGGCTTTGAGGTGCACTGACTGATTTCGGCAATTCTCTAGGTGGGCACTGAGCTCCTGCATCTTTGTGATGAAATTCATGCAGTTCGATGTCCTTTTGCACTGCACTGCTCCATCTTCTTAGTTTTTATTCAACTTTTATTCAAACAGGATGCTTTAAGTATCTGGATCTTGCAATTCATTGTCTGATTCTTTAGTAGTCATCATTCTCACCTGATAAAATTGCTCAACTCCTTCACAGCAATTGAGACAAATAAAAACTCCTTGATTCTGAAACTTTGGTGGGTACAGAAGTCAGAAGGATACAGTCTCTTCTGACTGTAATGGCTGTGTTGTTGCTTTTGCTGTCAGCAGTGTTTATTTTTATTAATAGATACTACTTTTTGTTCTCGTTTAGCCTCGTAGACTAATGTTTAAAGTAGCCGAGAATCAGATTTTACCTAAAGAACATTTCATTTATTGAAGGTTATTTGAAATTACTGGTATAATTCATGTATTGCAACTTAGCCAATAACCAATAACCTCATCTTCTTTCTGTGCAATTCCAGTTCTGCATAACAAAGAGAGGGCCCTATGTATCCAGGGGAAACTGAATCACTTAAGCAGAAAATAAAGTCTGTCAAAACACTACATAAATGCTGTACATGCATCTTTTTTTAATTGAGTTGGGTAAGTGGAGAGATTTCCAGTGTATTCTGAATGTCTAATCCCTGGACCAAGTCAAAAAATGATCTGTCACTCGTCCAGCTAAAATACAAGTCACAAGTCAAACAATTAGTCCTTTAAAAGAACAGTGAATATTTGTAAATTGGTGATGGCTTTAAAGCTCCTTAATTCAAGTCATCTCATGAATTTAGTTTTTTAAGAAATGCTGCATCAGGAGCTTCACTGCCACCCTCCCCACAGAGACAGAACCTGATGTGCTAAAGTAAAGGCAGACATGAAAAGGGTTTGAAGTCTACAGAGCTAAGCAGAGATGTGCCTGTATCCAAGAGTAGCTCTTGTGGTACATTTGGATAAGCACATGCAAAAGACCTCCAATATTTCTATCTTGTAATGAGTGCTTTAAAAACCTCCTCTCATAAAGAAAATACTTAAAGGGAGGTGAAGAAGCTTCTTAGTGATTCATTTCAGTGGGTCACTGCTCTGCAGTGGTTCTCTAAGCTGCTATGGATTTTAACATTTCCTTGAGCACAGCTGGGTTTTCTTTTTTCCCTGGCATTTTTCATTCAGATATAAATAGTTACTAGAGCAATATTACCAAGAATATCTTTAAAGAAATAACTGATGAAGCCATAAAAAAAAATCCTGAACTAAAGCTTTCCAGAATGACTGCTGTCATTTTCATGCCTCTTTTCTGAGTGCTCATGAGTCTGTCTAGGAACTGTAAATTTAGGGAAAGAAATAGAAAGGTGTATGATGAGTACAGCAGATGGGATTCGTGTATCTTTTTAGAGATTCTTTTTCTTAATGCAGCATTATTTCTGTCAAAATTGAAATGCTTTGAAAAATCTGCTAAGTTGATGTAAGTCTGTTCAAAGGAGAACTAATAAAGCATTAAAAAGTCCAGCAAAGAATATTTTGACCATTTTTACAAAATTTTTAAATACGAAATGTATTATTTAAAAGAATAAAAGAAATTAACTTCTAGGAAATATTTTGCAACAACAGAACAATAAAATATATTTGGTTTAAATGGGAAAAAATTGAAATTGGGAAAAAAAATTCTGTGAAACAGAAAATCCAGTTCCTGGCCAGGTCTGTTTAGTGACAATTTCCTAAATCTGCAAATACTTTTGATTCACAGAATCATGAGTCATGACTCTGTAAATACTTTTGATTGATGGTTTTAAAGGGAGAGAAGATTCTTAAATGTCAACTCACAAATGCACGTGGATTAAGATCTCCTGAGCCACCTGCTTGTTTTAGTGGGGATGGCTTGATCATTGTGTGGAAGCCCTGTTCCACATTTCTCGGAATGGTGCCTCAGCACTGAAGCTTAGTTGTGCTCTTCTCTGAACACTGGGTGAAGAGATTTTCCCAAGCTGTAAATATCAATAGCCTCAGACTAATTATGCTTTTGCAGAGCATAAGGCTCTCAATTACCTGAAGTGTAGGCTGCTGTTGTGCAAGAGAAGGGGGAATGTTTGGACTGATGGGGTTTCTCTTCCCAAGTTACACGTGATGAAGCCTGGCGTTCCTGGGGATGGCTGGACACCTGCCCATGGGAAGTGGGGAATGAATTCCTTGTTTCACTTTGCTTGTGCATATGTTTTTTTCTTTCCCCATTAAACTTTTATCTCAACCCACACGTGTTGTCACTTTTACCCTTCTGATTCTCTTCCCCCACCCGCCTGAGGGGGAGTGAGCATGTGGCTGTGCTCTGCTCAGGTGCTGGCTGGGGTTAAATTTCTGTATATTTTAAATTTGGTATTACCTTTGAAGCCTAAAGAACATGTCAGATAAGCTCTTGCCACATCTCACATGTCACCATGGAGTGCTGCAAGAGAGGTCTCACTGGGAGCTGGCCAGCATTGGCAGTGGAAAGCTGGGAAACTGTTATTATAAAGACCAACTTCATAACTGGAAGAAGTGTTGGTGGAGGCAGAAGCTTTTAGTGAGAAGGAAGCAGAGCCCATTCATTAGCTCTTCTTGCTATGTAGAAATTCAAACATGAAATAAAAAGGACTAGTTGTACTGTGCAACTCATCTCTGTGCGATGAGCATTGCACCATGCTTTGACTATAACACCCACCAAATGTAATAATCATCTATTGGCCAGATTATCTTTTTCCTCTGAGGAGTTTGACCTATTTCCTGTTGAAACAGATTTTTCTTGTGTCACATCCATGCATTTCCCACCACTCTGTAAGCTGAAGAAGAAATATAGTCTGAAAAATTAATTAGCCAGAGTTCTCCTATGTAGGAGACCATGTAGGAGTGTGTAGATCTTAGAGAAGTATCTGTCACCAAATGAACATGTCTGTGCTAGTTCTAAATGCCCTTCAAGCTATGTCTGAATTATTTGTCTGCTCAAATGAGTTACTCCTTCTTGTGGGTGGACTCAAGAATCTTGTCCTTCATCTTAATTTGTATACAGCAGATTCATGGCAGAGTAACTTAGTCATATGAAGGAATGCAGATAACACCTCCCTTGTACACCATGCAGAGCTGTTGTAAGCCAAGGAGTTGTAGAGGTAACAGACTAGTAAAACCAGGCCTGGGATGCCTACCAAAACAATTGGGTTGCAAACTCTGCATAGTCAAGTTAAAAATCTAATTTAGTTATTTGTATGGGTTCTTAATCATACATGTAATGTATACAAGTTCACATTAAAGTTAGAATTAATTACATCTTTCAACTCATGCATCTAAATGAACAATGCTTTGCTTAATGTAGCTTTGTTTTTATAAATATCCTCCCATTATGCAGCAACTGAATATTCCTGTTTTACTGTGGCTTTTGTGTGTGGGAGAGGCACTCTGGAAACTAAATATATCCAGTATTAATTAAACTATGCATCTCGGAAGGACAGCAGGATAATTCTTCTTCATAGTTTTATAATGAGATTTGTCTGAACATGAAAAAAGCTCAGCCAATGCAACATTTTTAGTTCAATTTCAGATCTATCTTTACATCGGTGAGAGTGAGCAACAACTGGCTCCTGTATTTTACAACCTGGTACTTAGAAAAAAAGACCATTTTTGAAACTGAGTTTAGCAAATACTCAGAAAACAGGAAGAAACAATGCACAGGGAAAGGGGAAATGGAGAACAAAACATGGAGGAAATAGTAGACATTTTTGGCACCTAAAGAAATGGGAAGAAGAGAAATGCTCATGAAATACGAATCTGAACATGAAAGTTGCTGAATCCCAAGAATGATTTGCAGTATGTCAGATCCAAATTTTCCTTCTCTGTTATGTTTCTCGCCCTGTTAATGCCCCACATATCCCACATTTGATGGTCTTTTTGCTTACCTCCCTTCCTCATGCCCCATATGAGCCAGAAAACTTACCCTGGCTCCCCTTGAAGCCCACAAAGCTGGCATATCCCCTGTTTTGTGCCACGAGCTGTTTGCAGAGGTTGCCATCATCCAGGATACAGCTGGTGGCTCTGATTCAGAAATGCTGAACACAAGGGACGGATTTTGCTCTCAGCTGTCCGCAGTAACCATGGAAAGGTTTCACTTCTGCCTTGGATTCAACAGAATCCAAACCTGGAGGTATTGTTAACTGGATGATGTGAAGTCAACGAACTAGAATTTTCCCACTGAACTACTCTGCTTACAAATGGGAGAAGTCCCCAGTTTACTTCACCTGTCACACAGGTACCCTGTTATTCATAATTTGTGTTTATTCCTTGAACAATGCAGCTTAGCCACTCTCACAGCCCAAGGACAAGGAGGGGGACAGCCTTGCAAATTGTGCTGAGGTTGTTAAGAGGCATAACCTCTCCAGCTGTTTTGTCTGTCCTGCCCCTTCCACAGCTGGCCTGCAGGGGTGGAGCACCTGCACGTGGCTCAGCACAGTGTCTTCTTCCTTGGCCCAAACCAGCTTTTGTCAGCACTTTAAAGAAAATTGCTGGACTTTGCATCTGAGTCATGTACACAGCCCCAGCAGCTGCATTTTTGTGGGGATGGTTTTCCCTGGCAAACATGTGATAGCAAATTGTGAAGGGCCTAGAAACAGAAGGAGGAAACAAATAATGAATTTTCAGAGACTTCTGGACTTTTTTCCATATTTCAGAAGTCAATTCTTAGCCCCATATAACAGACAACAGACTTCTATTACAAACATGCTGAAGCAAATGAAAAAAATATGTGGCAAGGAAGTACCAAAAATTACAAATATATATTTTGCAAAACTGCCTGTAATTATGCAAAGTAAATTTTATGCAAAAAGTGGCGCCACCTAAATGGCAACATAACATATGCACACATTCAAGAAAGACAGTCTTTTCAAACAAACTATTGCCACAGTCGTGCAGTAGCTTGAGTCTTTAATTGCAAGTTAATGTAATTAGTAAAATGAATTCTTTAATGTGGAGATTAGGGTTTTTATGTTTTTCACTACCAAGAGATTCTGCTCTTCCAAGCTGAAAGTAAAGAGACATTATAGGAAAAGGCAGAGGTACCTCCATGTGTGACAACGTGACAGTAGTTTTGCTGCAGCTTTCCACGTGGCAAGGTAAGAAATCCAGTTTTAGATGGCTCAGTTACCAAAGAAACAGGCCTATAGTTAAAGTCTGATAATTTCTCACCTTAGACACAAACAGTAACTTTTGCAGTTAAAAGCAGTAAGAACACCAATAGTTACGGTTTTCTCCAAATTACGCTCTTTTCTGTGTTTCCTGGCAAGTAGAACTGGTCTCATGGCATTGGGCTGCAATGCTTTGCTGCACAGCCAGAGAAAGCAGAACTGTTCCAGCCATGGCAGCTTATATGTGCTCTCTGCTCTTGTACCACGATGCATTTTCTTCACACAGCCTCCCCAGAGAGCTGGGCTGAAGTTACAGCACTGTGGTTCAGAGTGAGACTGCCTTAAAGAAGAGGGTAGAAGTTTATATAGGTTGCAAACCCAGATGTCCATTATCTAGTTGGTGCAATGAGCCGGCTTTGTACTGCTTGTGTTTTGAAAGGTTCCAGAAAAGTGCATGGAAGGGCTTTCAGATGTGCTTTTAGTTGGTGCAGGTGCAATGATAGCTACGTCAGAGCCAGAAGGTGTTGCAACTTCCTAAGCAGTAATAATAGAAGGGTTGATGCCA